GCCTCAAGTTAGTCGAATGGCATACTGATTCAGCTACAAGTCTTTTTCATACCTTCTGCTGTTATTCCACATGTCTTTCATTCTATCTAATACAATTGGTTTTTAAGACCTAAAGTACTAGCATTGACCTATAGTAAATCCCATCCTTAAATTTAGACCATGATCCCGATTTGGGGGGATCTTCATTGGATTTCTCCCAGTTATCCAGCTTATAGATTGTCCTCCCAGACTCCCCATCAGCCACATCTGAGATAGGCCTACTATGTATGTCTTCATTAAACTAATTGATAATGCCCTGGGTACCCTCCAGAGAGGTCAGTTGAGGTCAACATCAATCTATTAATCCGTTTCTTGAACATCTAGTCCAACCAGTTATGGATTCTCCTCCTCTTAACACTGTTCAGTCATATTTATCCAACTTGTCCACATGGGTAACATGAGAAATTTTGTCAAATGTTTTGCTAAAATCCTCATTCTTTCAGCCTACCATAATCTTTGATATACTAGATTTTTTAAACAAATGAAATTTGGCCAGCAGATTATCTGTTTAGCAAACTTTTATTGGCTCCCCTTTTAAGGGGCTCCATGCATGGGTGAGAGCATCCTGTTCTCTCGCCAGCTCCATTGGGAGCTATCAGCCCATAGGATCCTAGCGACTCACTTTCTTTTCTTCCAAGACTATTAAAGTCTGTTTTCTAAGAGAATATGAGAAGGATCTGACTGTGCTCATCTTCTGTCATGAACTTTAAGATACAGTGGAAATTTATCCCAAAGTTCCCATCAGCAGGCAGCTCCCTTTGGGGGTCAGACTGGGTCTGAGTGGTCCTCCCCACCATCTCCTCTGCTGCCAAGCCCATCAGGAGGGCACCCTGAAGACCACAGCTGTCTTTTCTCACACAGTCTTGGGGGTGCATCCTCCCTTTCTTCTCTCCAGAAGGGCTATCTTTGGTGTGGTGCCATAGGATGTCGCTCTGGTCTTCTGCCTTCAGCCTCCTCAAGAAGTTGCTCTGTGAAATTACCTTTGAGCTACCCAGGGACCAGAAGGCGTGCCCTCACCAAACACCTTCATTGTTCACATGGGGCATTGGCCCTTGGCCCTTGGCCCTTAGCCCCAACAAATCTCCACCATTCTCCAGGTCTGGGAGTGAGGATTTCACCTGGGGAATGAGGTGGTGGGGGGAGGGGCTGTAGGTGAACAGGAGGCGCCTCTGAATGAACCCCCCTTCTGGTGGCTCAGAAACTGTGGGGTGTGGCTGTGCATTGTCTCTACTCACTTTCTCTAGTCTGACTTAGGAGCTAAGAGGGGGCCTTTTGGAAATTGTGCATGTACACATATGTACACACATATGTATGTATATATATAATGTAAAAACATGTATTTATTACCTGTTCTATAAATATGCTTGATGTAAAGGTGCATTTTTATTTTATACACACACACACACACACACACATAAAAATGCTATTGTTAGTATCCAAGTTTTACAAGTCCCTTTTCTGGGTCTTTTTCTCCTCAATTTTTATTTACAGACCTCCAGGTCCCAAGGATCAATCTGGGTAAACCTGCCTTTCCAAACCTCCCCCATCATAACCCATGGAGGCAGGAACACAACATTGCAGGAGGCTCGGCCACCACGGTCCAGAAAGCCAGTCTTCTTTTTCTAGATCTTCCTTTTTCAAAGACATGACCATCAGTTGGAAGGAGAGAGAAACACACGCTCTCGGGGGGATAGAGGGAAAGTACTGAGTGGTAGAGTGTTGCTCTAGAGGGGGGGGACATGCTATGGAACTGGGGAATGATGGTGGTTGCTCAACATTGTGAATAAACCAGATGCTGCCCAAGTGTTCACTCTAAAATAATTAGTTTTATATTATGTGAATTTCAGCTCAACAAAATTTACTAAGTTTTTACTAACGTGCAAAAAAAATTTTAAGGATCAATATACTCCTCCCTGCTTTAATCTCCCCAGTTCCTAGAGGCAATTCCCAGACTTCATCCAGAAACTCATGACTTTTGTCAGCAGCTCACCAAACCCTCAGGGGGTTAGGTACATGCCCCAGGCCAGAGCCCCCATGCTCAGGCCAGTTCTGTGGGAGCAGCCACCCTCCTGCCCCTGTTCCCCTGAGCACCTCCGGGCCTGGCCCTGGGCCAGGGACATGGGAATGCAGCGGCTACTCATACGTGGACTGCCAGGAAGCCCACTGCCCGAGAGGAGATGTGGTCATGGCCGGGGACCTGGGCAGGGGGCGCCTCTGGGAAGGCTTGCTGCAGGAGAGGCACTGAGAGCAGACCTCAGAAGACCAGCCAGGTGTCGACATAAGGAGTATGAGGGGAAGGGGCCTCTTGTGAAGGGGTTGCAGGCCCTTATGTGCCGGTGAGGACCCCCCTTGGGAATCCTGCTGTGTAGGGCGCTGGTGTGGCTACCAGCCTTGGACCAGATGGAGCCACCTCTCTGCCTAGCTCCTGCTCTCGGTGCTCCCCGGGCCTCTGGTTTTCGGGGGTGATCAGGCCATGGAAGGTCACCCTACTTCCCCTTCAGGATACGAGTTCTCTAAACCCACCCTGACGTTCAGATGGAAGCACTGTTAGCAGCGAGGGGGAGTTCTTGACCTATCTCATCAGAAGCCCCCAGACACGAATAAGGTCTTTAAAACAGAAAGCCTAGTGAGTGAATGGTCAGGGGTGCCCAGGGTGGGGATGTGTGCTAAAGATGTGCTCGCCAAAAACTACTCACCAGGCATTTGGTCAGCCTGCTTCCCGAGTGCAGTCCATGGGGCATGTGAAGGGAGCTCCTCTCTGGGCGCTGCCGTCTGTCTAGCGGGTGGAAAGAAGCACAAGGAGGTGTGTATGTGTGTGTGTGCAGAGAGCGGACAGCACCGTGGCCCTGGCAGGTGACAGCCGTGGGCTTGTGGGACTTAAAGGAGAGGCAGAGTAGGTTGTGGCTTCCAGCCCTGAGCGTGGGATGGCCAGAAGCAGGGTGGCGCGTGGCCAGTGAGTGGGAAGGTGCAGGGAGGAGCGGGTTTGGGGAGAAGGTGGTGGTGGGTCTGACTGGACTGTTCTCGCACACACCCACTTCCTGGCCCGTAGGTCTGACCAAAAGGAGCTGGTGGAAGGGACGCCTGGAGACTTCAGGAGGACATGATAATGGTCCTCAAAACCTTGAAAGGTCCTGGTCTGGAAGAGGCAGATTTGTTCTCAGAAATTCCATTTATACCCAGTGGAAGGGCCAGAGGACTTGGAGTCCCTGCTTGCTACCTGTGTGCCCTCAGCAGTCCCCGATCTGTGAAATGACCGCAGGTGCTGAGTGGCACCTGCCCGCATGTGTCCGCCGACGAGAAGGGGCAGGGGGCCAGGGGCAGGCGTCCGAGTGCCGTGTGGGGTAGGCCTTGGCGCACAGCCGGAGTTGGGCAGATAATGGTAGTTGCCGGGAAGGGAGCATGGCCTCTTCTTGGATCTTGGGTGGGGCTCCGTCCTGTCCCTCTCTAGAAGGCATGTGGCCTTTCAAGGGTCGTCTGTTCAGGATGGGTTTTCCCAGCCATATGTGAGAAAGCACGCACATGTGCCCCAGTGTCACTCGTATGTCTGCATGTGTGACGTGCCGTAGATGACCGTGGGCGTCCTCCCCACCTCCTTTCTGGAGAAGTGTCACACTTCCTGGCCCTCAGCCGGTGCTCCCCCAGGCAGTCCCGGCAGCTTGCAGGGGCCCAAGATGGGAGAAGGCCCCCGACCGTGGCTGTCTCCGTCTGAGCTTGGGCCCGGACCTTGGGCAGTAGCCTTCCGAAGAAAGGAGGCTTCCAGGGCGGCAGCTGGGTCCAGCTGTGCTGTTTCCTTTTCTTCAGACCTACCAGAGGAGGCTTCATTTTTCCTTCCCTGAAATACATTCTGAACATAGCTTAAAATGAGCCATTGGGCTCAGCTTGCTGATCAGGGAGGATTTGTCCCAGACTTCTCTTTCTCTTATTTTTTCCCTGCCTGCCTTCTTTCTGTTTCTGCGACTCTTCTTTCTTAGGACTGAAAGAAATTGCCGCTTGGGTACCAGAGAAAACCCATCTTCGATGTTGGGGGAAGTAGAGAACATGACTTCCCGGGGAGCCCCCTCACCAGGCCTTCCCCGTGTCTTCCTAAAGCCAAATGGGCCAGAAGACCAATTCCCTCCGGGCTGTGGGAAAGGAACTGCACCACTGACCCTGTGTTTTCGTTTGCTAGGGGCCCATTCCCATCTTTCTCTGGTGTCCCATTTCGAGCAGCCTGGCGCCTCGAGTCAGCCGCGAAGCCCAGGACTAGGAGACGGAGAGGGAACCATGGTGGCCATGCTGTGGCCCACCCACCTGCTCTGTGTCCAATGCTGCACGCACCTCCAGCTCACACACACCCCTGCTCACAGGCCCTGCCATCCTCCTTGTTTGTTTGTTTTTTTAAAGATTTTTATTTATTTGAGAGAGAGAGACAGCGACAGAGATAGTGAGAGCAGGAACAGGGAGGACAAGCAGGGAGCCTGACGTGGGGCTCGATCCCAGGACCTCCGATACTGACTGAGCCACCCAGGCGCCCCTGCCTGCCATCCTCCTTTTAAAACGTACCTTAAACTCACCGAAACCCACAGCCAGGATTCAAACCCGGTCTTTCTGACTCCAGAGTCACTCCTCCAACCTAGACCTTTCCTGTGGGCCCAGCAGCCTGCGGTATGACGTCATTCTCAGCGGAGACAATGTCTCCCGAATATGCTCCCTGCCCACCTCACAGAGCACAGCTTTGTCCCCTGCCCGCCTGCATGCCCCTCTGTCCTGCTGCCAGCCCCTCGGGAGCTGCCACCACCTACAGGTCAGAGACCAGACTCTGAGGGTGGGCTCTGGCCCTTTCTCTGCCCCCACAGCTCGGTCTGTACTTCTGTGGGGTGCTCAGGTGTGTGTCCTGGGTGCAGGGGCGGAGCCTTGTGTCTCAGTCACTGAACACCGCTGGTGCCTCCAATGCCATTTTCTCTTTTTCTCTTCTCTTACAGCAATGGATGGTGTGCCTTTCATGATTTCAGAGAAGTTTTCTTGCGTTCCAGAAAGTGTAAGTGTTCTGCATGATGGCCCTTCGGTTCGGCCACCCCCAGCCTGTGTTCCCTCTGCTCGGCCCGCAGGCCCCTGCCCTCCTGTCGTCCCGAGGACAGGGCTTCCTCTCTGGGCCCCTCCAGCTAACGCTGCACACAGTAGGTGCTCGAGGAGCGACAGGAGAGTAGGGATGAGGCACGGGGAGGGAGCGAGACAGACTCCCAATTCCACCATAACAGCGCCTTTTTCTTTCAAATGTGATGGCAAATAGGGCTGAACTTCACTAGTTGTGAATGTTCTTGGTTCCCAAGTTCAAGTTAATAATTTTTGTTCTTTTTTATTTAACCATGACAACATCTTGCAGAAAGAAGGCTGCCTCATTTTTTCATTATAACCTGGATTCTGTGATAACCACACTCTCTGCTCCGAATTGGAGGGAGGCCTCCGAATGGCAGGGCTGGTCGGCCAGTGTGCGCGCCCACAGCTGTGGTCGCCCGCTCGCTACAGGCCCGCAGGGACCCCACGACACACAGCAGCCGGCCGGGGCCCCTGAGCTACCTGTGATGACGGAGGGGCTGTGTGAGCTGGCTGGGCCTGCAGCCCAGAACCCAGACCATGAGGGGTGCCCACCATACACAGCCTTGTGGGCTGTGGGCTGGCGCTGCAGACCCCACCTGGCACTCCAGGGACCCTCTCTCAGATGATACCTGCCCCCCAGGTGGGAGCCCCCCACCTGACCCCACTCCCCCAGGTGGTGCTGGTCCATGCCGGCTCCATAGCCTTGTTTCTGGGTGTTTTTTATCCTTTTTGCAGAAGTTTGTTTTGAGTAGCTAACAACCGTGAGGGCCCCAGTTTGGGCACCAGCTAAGGAATCCTTCAATGTATTTCTTGGATCCAGCTTAAAACCACCCGGCTTGCGATTTGACCTGCCCTGTAGTTTCCATTTTCATGAAATATAATAGGCCTCCTCTGAACCCTTCTGGTAAGCAGCTTAATCTTGAAAAATGCTCGTGACGTGACATGCGGAGCATGAGTAACTTCAGCCGCCGCCACTTGGCCGCGTTGCCATGGCGACGCTGGCGCCTCTCCCGCCCGCTCCCTCGAAGAGGCTCTTCTGTCCTGCGCACCAGCTCCAGTCGGGAAAGTTTAGTGGGGCAGTTAGAGCCTAACGATGCAACAGCTGGACCTCTGCTGATCGCGGGCAAGCAGCCCCGTTCTCGTCACTCGGGCTGGCAGCAGGAGAGAGCCAAACTGTTTTGTGGCTACCGGCAGAGCAGCCCCGGGAGCTGAGTGCCTCATTCGGTGGCCCTGTCCCAAGATCGCCCTCGTAAATGGGCCGCTGCCCAGCGCTGCCGACTTCAGCAAGTGCTCGAGGCGGGCAGCTCGGGCCAAGCCGGGTGCTGGGCACCTCCGAGTGCTCCTCGTTCCCCCTCCGGCAGCCCAGCCAGGAGAACCCAGCCACGCTGCTCTGAGCGGGAGAGGAAGTGATGCGGCGATTTAACCCACAGCTGCCCTGTTTTGAACCCAGGTCCGTGGACTCGGGAGCTGGCCTTTCTACCGCACCTGCAGGAAATCCCCGCAGGCTCGGCTCGGGCTCTAGCTCTGCGCTGACCTCTGGGCTGTGGTTCAGAAGCATGAGGGCCTGGGGTTTTTATCCAGGACCCCGGTTTCACCTGTTCGTCCTCGGGTGCCAGTTGCTGGCCCCTCTCGGGAATACAGAACGCCGACAGGCTCAGAGCAGGGGCCTGCAGGACAGGGTGCCCGCTGCTCTCTTACCTCTCACCGTGCATCCAGCCCTGGCCTCTCTGCGCCTCCGGCTGACTTGTTGCCTCGTGTACTTGACTTCTCCTGCTGGCTGGGGGAAAGCCAGCATTTTCAGAGAAGGCTCCCATCGTCATGAAATAATAGAAACCCCCATTAAAATGCAGTGATACCATTTTTCACCACCATTGAGTTCTCAAATGATCATTGATGGGCAGGTTTTTTCCTTCACCTTGCATCTTCAAAGACCTAGAATTCCCTCCCGCGGTTCCTTAGACCCATCCCACCACACGGATGCCACGGTCAAGGCAGCTGTGGCCAAGCCTCGTGCCCCTCCGTCCCCCCAGCTGCAGAAGGAGCAAACGGCTTCTGGCCTGGGCAGGGAGAAAGGAGAGGTGGAAGTCATCAGTGACTGCCCCTGACCCTCAGGAGGGCTGGGACCCTCCCGGGTGTTGCCGACAGATGACTCAGCAGGGGTCGGCCAGGTTTTCTGGAATGTTTGCTCGTGTAATCACTACAGATTTGCAGTGGTGGGTTTCCTGTTGAAAGAGGGTAGAGAAAATGCTAGATCACATAGGGAGGTTTGAGGTGTCACAATTGTTAAGCATAAAAGCAAATGTGAAACAGCATTTTCCAGCCGTTTAAAAGGATGACTTGATCTGTATTTGCAGATGCAGCCCTTTGATCTCTTGGGAATCACCATCAAATCTCTGGCAGAAATTGAAAAAGAGGTAAGCAAGCTGCCCAGAGTGGGGGCAGGTGGGGCCTGGGCCTGCTTGCTCCCCACAGGGTCTCCATCCCAGGAACGGGGAGGCCGTAGGTGTGGGGTGGTGCCCCTCTGAGGAAAACACTTCCATGTCCCTCAGATTTATTCCTTAGAAAAAGAAACTCACTTTGAATGTGTTTACTGCTCAAGTCAGTTATGACCAGCACCTCCTTGTGTTCTCTGAAAGGTGTGTTCTCAGGTTTTAAAATGCCCCCAGTTTTAAGAGGTGGGGGTTGGGGGATGGGCACGGAGTCTCCTTTCTCTCCTCGGGCTCTAGTATTTGCCACCAGTATGGGTTTGGGGACGTGTCCAAGGAGCCTCTTTGCGATTTAGAGCCAGCATCAGGATCCGTTCCGTTGTGCCCGATGAGCCAGACCCCATTTGGCAGCCTGGCTCCACATAGTTTGGGTGTTTGCCTAAAAAAACAGAAAGAAATCCAAGCCTGGAGTACTTGTGACAACTCTGAGAGCTGAGATATTGGGATGAAACCGGAGGTCAGGCCCGCCCATGTCTTCCCTGTTTTCCTAAGACAGCATTAGAGTGTGTGTGTGTCGTCTTGCACGTGTAGACGACTGTTAAACAGTCACATGCTTGCGACCAGCTCTCCTCTGAGAGGAACATTTGTCTCAAAGATGGAAATGGTAGAACCATTTCAATATTCTCAGTTCCTCTGGGTTTTCTCCTGTATACCTAGCTAGCAGAAGCAGGTCGCATTATGGAAAGATGGCTGAAATCAAGGAAAATTGATTCAATGTAGTACAACAAATTTCTAAACCTGTCATAGCAAAAACAAGAGAAAAAAGTCCGCCTTTGTCTTTGATTTTCAGTAAATCATAAAAACCAACCTGATTGTCATCTATAGGTTTCGTGGGGGTGGGGGAAGCAGTAAACTTGGGGGAAAGAATGGTGACTCCATTAGAGATCCCTGTGCACATGGAGCTCGGTGTCAGCCCTTCTCAGAAGCAAGGCACTCATAGATGGTTCTACAAACTGCCTTCAAGTGGGGTCCCGAGTCCTGTGGCCCCAGTGAGTGTGCAGAAGGCCTTTGAGGGTGGCTTACTCTGGCTGCAGGGTAAAGCAGGGGCATGGCCTCTGACCCCTTTAGGAGGGACAAGGTCATACAGACAGATGTCCAACCCAGCTCCACGCTGACTGGGGGCAAGTCGTCCCCCCTCTGTTTAAAGCCAGGATAACAGGAGAACGTATCTCCTAGGGTTTTCAGGAACACCACGTGAATATGTGTAAACACAGGTGCCCGGCCCCGTGGGTTGGAGGCTGTGAGGTGGCATGTGCTGGATCAGGAAGGCAGCCGTCTGGATGTCGTGCTTTCCCTTGCCCACAGTCGTCCCTGTTTTATTTTAGCACCTGCTACGTGCTCGCCTTCAACTGGGGCTCTCCCTGCATTTCCACTGGTTCCCGCTGCTGACCAAGTGGGTGTCATTCCTCATCTCATCTCTTGGGGCAGAAATTGAGACCCTAGAGGTGAAAGGTCTTGCCCAAGACAAGACTGAGACCCAGTGGTCACACTCCAAACCCTGCCCCTTATGACTTAAAGCCTGTGGCTCCATGTCCCTCAAAGGGGCTGATGGAGACAACAGTGCTGGGGAGGTGGGTCCACCTGACGTGGGCTGGGCCTTTGAGTTACCAGATGGGACAGATAGGTGAGGCCTGTGTAGGGCTTGGTGCAGGCTGCAGAAGCCACCAGAAACCTGAATTATCATGCTGAGGACTAAAATGCCACCTAAACACCCGTTTCATTAGAATGTGTTGTCTTGCTGTCCAGCACTCTGAGCCTGGAGGGGTGCAGAGGCGTTCTGGACTTGGCCACCCCAGGCTTGGGTCTCAGTAGCACCACTTAACTGCTCGGAACCTCTGTCTTCTCTTCTGTAAAATGGGAGAGTAATGAAAGTACTGCCTGCACAGCACTTACGGGGTCTGAGACAGTCGTGTGAAGGACCCAGGACAGGGTCTAGCCTCGGCCACCACGGTCATGCTCGCTGTTACTATCGCGAGCAAGCACAAATCCGGCCCAGGTGTCCACACCTCGCTTTATTTCTTGTTCCAGAAATGGGCTAAAAACACACGTCTGTGTTCTCTGTGGAAGGAAATTAAAGTGGAGTTAAAAAGCAGGGAAACGGGGAAGGTTAGAAACATTAAGTAGGGCGGAAAACCATCATCGATACCACCACAGTCAAGAATGCCGCGGTTTTTCATTTAATCTGAGGATTTAGAAGGTACTGGCCCCGGCTATCCGCGTGCATTTCATGGTGATTAGTATGTTGATACCACGCTCCGGTGAACGAGCTCCTGCTTCGGCAACAATGGCAGAGAATTTTCTCCATAAATAAACATGAACTTCCTCCTTTCTGCCGCTGAACTCAGCATTGCTCATGGAGGCAGAGGCTGAGGAGGAGCCGGACCCACCACCCCCCTGGCCCCGGCTCTCGGCTCCTGAGTAGCTGGGTGTCCCTTTGGTCGGGATGATTTTGCTCCTTTCCATCCCCAGCAAGTCTGGCTGCCCCTGGAGGCAGTGGGGGGGATCTTGGCGGAGGACTTTGCTTGGCTCACTGTGTATTATTTTGTCGTATTTTACACTGTTAAGCCAAACCCCTTCCCCACAAAAAGGAGACTGCCTCTGGGTTCAGGGGCAGACACACGACCAGAACCGCGTCTCTCTGCCCGTCCTGAGCGCCTCCCCGAGCTCTCGGATTCCTGAGCAGCCGGGAGACGCCAGCGTCCACGGAGGCTGCTTTGTGCTGGCAGGTGCTTCTCTCCTTTCCACCACCAGCCCCCGCCCCCTGTGTGGAGAAGTGGTGTTGATTGGACTTCCAGCAGAGCCCTGGGCTCGCGTGGTCCCCGCCGTGAAGGAAGCTGAAGATGCAGCCCCTGATGGCAGCACGTTGTTCTGTCTGTCCAGAACTGGGGTGGGCTTGCTTTCCTGCCAACTTTACTTACCATGCTCTGCCTGGGGGGTGATTCGGAATTTAAGCCCGTGCCCCGTTGCCACCATTTGGCCACAGGGACAGTTCACTCCATGAACGAACCCCGTGACCCTGCCAACCTTGACTTTGGTTGTTGGGGACCAGAGGGAACACCCCAACTGCCAGGGCAAGCAGGGACCCGCAGTGCCCCCCAGCCTGCCACAGCCAAGAATTGCCCGAGTAAAGATGGAGACCAGGTGTCATCCCAGATGTGGGTGGGCAGTGCACCTCCAGCCCCGCAAAGTTAGCTGAGCTTCAGGGAGCATGTGATGCGGGGCCCTGCCAGCAGGAAGACAAGACAAGGCTTGCTGGCCGTGTGGACCAGAGCCACCTGTCACACTGGAGGGCACATCCTGGGTGTTCGCAGGGACGTTTACGGACCATGTAGACAGTGGAGGCAACGGGGTAGGGTGGAGAGGACACAGTTTGAGTCTGGATGCTGGGGTAGCACGCCAACTCTGCCGCGTAGGATCGACCCTGGGCAGGTCCCCTGGCTCCCCCCCCACCACGGGCCTCATGGCCCCAGCCCGTGTGCCTCACTCGTCCCACAGCTGCTGCTCCTGACTTCATCGCGAGTTCCCCGGAAGCCGTGGCATGTAGCACTGGCTTGAGTTTCTTGAAAGACCCCCAAAGGAAGGTCATGTTGTAAGGTTGTGATTAAAAATCCCTCTACCTGCCGTCGAGCAGATATACGGGGGGGGGGGGGGATTCTTGACAAACATTAAACCTCTCACAACTAAGAAATACTCTCAGGTGTGGGTGTTGAAAATGAACAAAGCTGTGGCTAATAAATTCCCCCGTGAATGCGGTCACTCTCCTGGCGCCAGGTGGGGATGGCAGCCTCCTTCCTGCCCAGCCTGCCCTCCAGCAGCCGTATTCCCTGCCGTCCGCGTCCGTGGCCAGCTTGGAGCAGGGCCTCTGCCGTGCACATTAGTCCGAGGCATGAGAAAGTGAGTTTCGGCTCATCTCCCCTCAGCCACGGGAGGTGACCAGTGGCAGCGATGGGGAGGCTTTCTGGCCCCGCCCCTCCCCCACGGGGCTGGGCAGCAGGAGGGTGATGGTGACACCCGGGAGGGTTGGTGGCCCCGTGAAACCCTTATTGTCCGCCTCACGGCCCAAACAAAAGCTTCTGTCTGTTCAGGAGTCAGGAAAAGTGTGATTTTGCAGCCGACCCCTGTGATGAAGCGTCTGCTCTGGGAGTGAGAAGATGGGCATATAAATATTCTCTGTCTCTGCCGCTCTTTATTTCCCTTGTAAGCGGTTGCTCCATTTCTCCATCTGATGGATTCCCCGTCACAGCCAGGGTGGAAGCACCCCAGCTCTGCAGCCCAGGCTGCAGCTTCTAAAATCGTGCCAGTGTCTCCGTTCCCTTTACCATGCCTGTTTATCCTGCCTCCCCGCCCACCGCCCCACCTGCCCTGGGGCCCGGCCACCGCCAGTCTCGCCTTGCCTGCAGACCCTCCATCCCTGTCTCAAGGAATAATAGCCAAGAGACAGCGGCCTTGATTGTAGATTTCACGCTGCACACGTAACAACCTGCAGGCCTTTTAAAAATAGGAGCCAACAATGCCTATGATGAAGCGGCATCCGGCATCCGCAGTGCCTTCCAGCTCGGTGCAGAGCCATCTCCCCACCTGCTGCCGACCTCCCACGGAAAACCACAATGCTCGCCCTCCCTTCTGTGGGTGCCACGCTGAAAATTCAGCCTGGCGAGGGAAGCGTCCTTAGCCCACCATGCTTCCTGGTAGGGCACACAGCCTCCATTTTCACTCGACTTTAAAGCTGAAAGACACGGGAGAGTCTAATTAGTAAAGGGACGATCTAATATTAATCACTCCCTTAAAATTGACAAGGGAGGCAGTTCATTTAACCACTTAATTGCTACAGGTTTTTATGGGCTGCTGTGTGCAGACGTATTTAATGAAGAAGTTATAAATCTAAGGGAGCTTAAAATTTTAATTTTATACCTAAATATTTTCCTTGT